GAAAGAAAGAAAAAAAAAAAAAAAAAAAAAGGAAGAAAGGAAGAAAAAAAAAAAAAAGAGAGAAAAAAAAAAAAAAAAAAAAAAAAAAAAAGTTTAGAGCCAGAATGATGACCGGGAGAGTAAAGGGCACTTGCCACCAAGCCTGATAATTAGAGCTAATCCCCTGGACCCAAGCTGTGGAAGAGAACCAATTTCAAGTTGTTCCCCAACCTCCAGACACAAGTGTACACCCACACCAATAATTCTTTAAAAGACTGAATTCAAAGGATTGAGTAGGGAGCCCTGCAAGACTGGTGGGTAGGGGTTGGTAGTAACCCTGGTACTTGGGAGGCAGGAGAACCAGTTCAAGAGCACAAGTGGGTAGCAAACCAAAGGCTAAAAACGAGCTACCTGTGACATTATTTCCAGTACGTGGGAGATGGACCAACTGGGTCGTGAGAAGTACCAGGAACTCCCTCACAAAACCGAACTTCCAAGCATCCAGCATTCTGATAAGGAACCCAGCCTTTTATGCTTGGAAACAAAAAACCCACACTGCTCTTAAACTTTGTCCAGACCATGCCACATGTGCTGTGCCACAGAACGTTATCATGTACTTTGAGCATTGCGTAAGGACGTCATTCTCAGCCTGATGTTGGCAGCACAGGTGACTTACCCAGGTGCCCTCTAACCAGGGTAACCGATCTACCACACCTGGGGAGGGCGTGGTTCCCCCCTATCTCATCCCAATTCCACCCAGCTGTTATTTTCGAATGAACTGGGGAATGTCAGCTTAGCAGTCACAGACGCCAACCATAACAGGCTGTCACTCAAGCCTCCAGCTGCCTAAAGGCAACCAAGTGTAATGTGTTAACCCAATCAAGTTAACTTGTACCAGTTACCAGTGAAACCCGTGCTAAGCTCTCCTGAGTCATGTAGGTGGCTCTGAAAAGAGCCGTTGGGTTACTGAAGAAGCCTCCAACCGAACTGTTTACTTTTTCTTGGGCGCCGCCTTCTTGGGCTTAGCCGCGGTCTTGGGCTTTGTCACCTTAGCCTTGGCAGCCTTGGGCTTCACCGCCTTTGCCTTGGCGGGGCTCTTGGCCACCTTCTTGGGCTTCACCACCTTCGGCTTCTTAGGGCTCTTGGAAGGCTTCTTCGAGACGGCAGGCTTCTTGGGCTTCTTCGGGGTCTTCACCGTCTTCTTGGCTGCGGCCCCGGCAGTCTTCTTGGGTTTCTTAGATGCCCCCGATGCCTTCGCCTTCACTGACACCTTGGCGGTAGTGGCCTTGGCCTCCGCCTTCTTGTTGAGCTTGAAGGAGCCAGCAGCGCCGGTGCCCTTGGTCTGCACCAGGGTGCCCTTGTTCACCAGGCTCTTGAGCCCCAGCTTGATGCGGCTGTTGTTCTTCTCCACATCGTAGCCGGCGGCCGCCAGCGCTTTCTTGAGTGCGGCCAGGGACACGCCGCTGCGCTCCTTGGAGGTGGAGACCGCCTGCACGATGAGCTCGGACACGGAGGGCCCCGCGGGCTTCTTCCTCGGCACCGCAGCCTTCGCGGGCTTCTTAGTCTTCTTTGCAGCCGCGGGCTTCTCAGGCGCAGCAGCAGCAGTCTGAGCGACGGGCGGTGTCTCCGACATCGTAGCTGCAGAGGACGGGACAGCTATGGCCAAGCCGAAGAAAAGAAGTAGAAAGACAAGGCCCCCGCGCGGCGTATTTATAGAGCAGGGCCGCGCTGTGATTGGTGCACGCTAACTCCCGCCCCTTGAACCCTAGAGGCCCCGCCCCCTCGGGCCCCGGAGCGCCTGCTAGATCTCTGGGCTTAACTAGTCTGGTGGCGCCCCCAAACCTTTCTGGCTGGGTGCTTGAGGTGGGAGTTTCATGTCCATCAGAAAGTAGCTCAGATGTTGAAGGGTGTCTGTAAATTGGCTAGTCAAAATTCAAGCAGTTTGTTGAGGTGTCAGAGATCGCTCCTACGGCTCAGGGAATAATTCCATGGTAGGCTATCAGAAAACCATGCTGTAGACCTTATTTACGAGCTTTGTACCGAAGAGTTATGTGGTTACTTTTTATATGTTACGTAAGGAATTGTTTTAGAGCTTTAAGAAGCATCAATCAGGTTGCTATAGTGATTTCACATTTCGAACCAATAGTGCTACTAAGATGTGGTTGAACTGGTTTCTACAATTCTGAGAAAGCACCTATTATTGCGCGAGAGCAAAAGCCACGGCATGACAACTCATCCTGGCACATGCAAGTCCAAAATAGCTTTGAAAAACACTTGTTGAGTTTTTCTTTTTAAACAAAATAGAAAATAATGTAACCTTAATGCTATGACCATTTTTATTATCGTTTTATTAAAAAAAATTAGTTTCCAACTGCATTGAGTGATTTCTGGCCAAGAATGCTTGAAAATATTTAGGTTTGAATGCAAGGACTCAAAGGATCTAGACAAATCCAGCTATTTAATGAATACACAGGAAAACCTGAGCCTGAATTCTCATCTTACTCCCATGCTAATCTCGGTTTATATGGTAGCTTTCGACTAAATGGAGAAACCCCACGCAAATGAAGGATTCAAGATCTGCTTTTTTAGTGGCTATTAAAGAAAACGCAGTAAACCAATCAAATGGTAGACTCTGGCCTTCCCTCACACAATGCAGAAAATTCTCATTAAACATTTGAGTACTCTGGATATCAAGTTTATTCTTCGGCTCTTCAGTCGCGACAAGGCCAAGCTGCCATGTGTTGGCGGACAGAGGTGCTGGAGAAGTTGACAGTCACCGCAATTTTCTTTCACTTTTCTTAAAAAACATATACATGGAAAGGGCAGCCACAGACTACCTTAGGAAAACTGTGCAATTGCAGTTCTTAAATATAAACCAATCAGAGTCTTAAACGTCACAGCCGCACAGTATTTTCGTCCAATCACTATGCTTTGTATACTATAAATAGTAGTTGTGAGCACAGCGTTGCCACGTCCCAGACGCTCAGTCTCCTGATTATTTGTTGCTATGGCTCGCACCAAGCAGACCGCCCGCAAGTCCACCGGCGGCAAGGCCCCGCGCAAGCAGCTGGCCACCAAGGCCGCCCGCAAGAGCGCCCCGGCCACCGGCGGCGTGAAGAAGCCGCACCGCTACCGGCCCGGCACCGTGGCGCTGCGCGAGATCCGGCGCTACCAGAAGTCGACCGAGCTGCTGATCCGCAAGCTGCCATTCCAGCGCCTGGTGCGCGAGATCGCGCAGGACTTCAAGACCGACCTGCGCTTCCAGAGCTCGGCCGTGATGGCGCTGCAGGAGGCCTGCGAGGCCTACCTGGTGGGTCTGTTCGAGGACACCAACCTGTGCGCCATCCACGCCAAGCGGGTGACCATCATGCCCAAGGACATCCAGCTGGCGCGCCGCATCCGCGGGGAGAGGGCGTAAATTGTTTACGTCTTAGAACAACCAAAGGCTCTTTTCAGAGCCACCAACAATTTCAAGTAAAATGGCTGTGAATAGACTCGGTCCAATTTCCCAAACGAGAAACGGGGATACGCATAAAACCGGTGTTGAGTGTGAAGCTGCCGAGTACGGCTTTCCCAATCAAACCTTTCCTCCATTCTCATACCCACAGTATTGCAGAGTTAGAGTAATTCTTTAGTTATCACACTGTGCCGACTAGTTCTGATAGTTTGTAATGCACAGGTTCCCTTGGGATAAAATTTAAAATAGGTTTTACATTGAGATTATGAAACCACGCAGCAGAGGCAACGCTCAAGGGCGGGGTCTGTGACGTCACATTCCCACCGGCGGGCTGTCCGCTGTTGGACAATTCTTAAAGGCGTGGTCTGTGACGTTACTTTCCCGCCGGCGGGCTTTCGGCTCTGTTGGACAAGCCTTAAAGGCGGGGTCTGTGACGTTACTTTCCCGCCGGCGGGCTTTCGGCTCTGTTGGACAAGCCTTAAAGGCGGGGTCTGTGACGTTACTTTCCCGCCGGCGGGCGGGGCTTAGAGGCGTGGCCTGTGATGTCACTTTCCCGCCGGCGGACGGGGCTTAGAGGCGTGGCCTGTGACGTCACTTTCCCGCCGGCGGGCTTTTGGCTCTGGCTTTCTGTTGGGGTGGGGGGAGTAAGGCGGAGCAGCTATATAAGGACCCGTTCTCGGGTCTCACTCATTCTCCTTTCGGCTTTGGTAGCTTCCCTAGCCATGTCTGGTCGCGGCAAAGGCGGGAAAGGTCTCGGGAAAGGCGGCGCCAAGCGCCACCGCAAAGTCCTGCGCGACAACATCCAGGGCATCACCAAGCCCGCCATCCGCCGCCTGGCCCGGCGCGGCGGCGTCAAGCGCATCTCCGGCCTCATCTACGAGGAGACCCGCGGGGTGCTGAAGGTCTTCCTGGAGAACGTGATCCGCGACGCCGTCACCTACACGGAGCACGCCAAGCGCAAGACCGTCACGGCCATGGACGTGGTCTACGCGCTCAAGCGCCAGGGACGCACGCTCTACGGCTTCGGCGGCTAAGGCTTTCATCCTTCGTCTTTTCCCATAACCAAAGGCCCTTCTCAGGGCCGCCCATCTGCTCAGAAAAAGGCGTTGTAATACTGTGCCGTGCAGTTTGCTTTGTACCGCATCCCGGAGAACAAAGGCTGAGAGAAATGAAGAATAAATCACAATCTGAGCGTAATTGCACTCTGCCTTATTTCTCTTGTGGATTCAGTGAATTGAATAGTTGATCTCTAAGTATTAGATTCCACCACTTTCTTGGACAGCCTAGTAACTTATCCCTTGCTTCGTTGCTTTTAATTGAACTGGGAAAACTCGGGTGAGTCCGGGCGCGGGGAAACTATTTATTGTTGTATAGTTATCATGGGTCCCATTTCAGGGCTCCCTTTACACCCTAAACTTGTAGGTGAAGTTGGTAAAGTCAGGTGTATTCTTTGAAGGGCTTCCTGTACTGTGGATTTTTGTGCATTAATGGAGGCAGCTTGGGGGAGCATTTGCCACAATTTCGGATTCAAGCTGTGTTAAGTTTGAGGACCCAGCTGAAGGAGTACGAACTCAGTTGATGACTGCTTATCTGTTTTCCTCTTCCTTGCCTAGCCTAGACAACTTGATCCTTCAGCTCCCAAGTGCTAGAATTGCTGTTCATCACCATACCCAGCGTGGCCCCACTTCTTCGTGGTTTTGCTGTTTATAGATTTTTCTTTCTTTTGGTTATTTGTATTTTGCGCATCGCCTTTTTTTTTTTTCAGGTGAGAGCGCGAACGCAGTCCCCCACTACCACAAATTAGGCAGTTTCCCGCATTTGGGGAAATCGCAGGGGTCAGCACATCTGGAGCGCAATGGATAAGCCTCGCCCTGGGAAAACCACCTTCGTGATCTCCCCTGCCAGGTAAGTATTACGCATCCCCTTTATAAGGGACAGATTTGAACCTCAGCCTCAGTTAGCTATGTCTGAATGTGTCTCCTTCATTTGGTATTCCTGTTATCCAACCGCAGGTTTCTTATGGAGAATGAAGTATTCAGCATAGCTTCATTTTAAGCTAATGAGAATTCATAGGTGCATCCTGGAAGAATTCAGCAATAGATCAGAGGAACAAAAATGTGTCTTGAGGGTGATTGTCCACTTTATTCAGAATTTGAATTCCTTCAGTACTATTTGATTGATATTCTATAATGTGCCTACAGAGAGCACTTCGAGCTCTCCTTATGAGCAGTAAGTTTAGAGTCTGTGGATGCAGATTGGAGAAATCAGTAACCACAATGGCCTTTAAGGAGGCCTTTAGGTGGAAGCTCTATGTCAGTGTCCCCCCCCCCCCCCCTCCGCTCTCTCCAAACCCCGCCCTGGCTCAGAAAAGCCGCCAAACCGCGGCTCCTCCCCCAAAGACCTTTCTGTGGGCCGAAAAATCACCCGGGAGCGTTTTACTCATTAAACCTGGATTAATCATTAATTCTTAATTCGGTTTGATTTGGATTAATGCGTCCGTGGAGATGTTTAATATCGGGTACAGAATCCTTTCAGTAGGCCTGACTGACCTTTTTTCAAAGCATTCCATAGGCCTATGTTCTCCCTAGTGGTATCCACCTCTACTGTGATAGAAACCTCTCTCTTATCCAGTCAGTCCATAATATCCTAGATTTGCAAGTCTGCATTAACTCTCAAGATAGACAGGAAAGTCGTGCTTATTGAGGAATCAATTGTGGCAATACCATAGTGGGGCTCAATGGAGGCCTGGGGACTTTGCAAGGGTTCATGATGTGTTCACTTTAAAGATATACATAAAGACCAGGAATTTAAGATGAGACTGAGCTACAGTTTCCAGGCTAGCCTGATCTTTATATCAAGAGAAAAGAATCCAGTGACATGATTCCTTGGGTAAAGCTGCTGCCAAGCCTGAAGACCTGAATTCAAACTCCTGGACCCACATGGTAGGCCCAATTCTCCTAAGAAGTTATTCTCTGACATCCACAGGTCATACACACACACACACACACACACACGCACGCACGCATGCACGCACGCACGCACGCACGCACATACATACATACATGATTATAAAATAAAATATTTTAAATGTAATTTTTAAAAGACAAAAGGGGACAGGAGAGATGAATCACTGGTTAAGAGCACTGGCTGCTCTTGCAGGGAACCTACATTCAAATCCCAACACCCACATTGTGTCTCCCAATCCCCTGTAACTGCAGTCCCAAGAATTCCAGATCTGATTCCCTCTCCTGGTCTCTGGGCACCTGGCATGATAGTGGTGCACAGACAAAAATGCATGCAAAAAAATCCATACAAGAAAATAAGAATGACATTAAATTAAAGACAAAAGAAAACATAAATAACACTATAAACAACCTATGCGATACCAGGGTTGTTCTAGATGCTAGAGTCATGAGGACACAATGACATTCTCACTTTCAAGGTATTATATCCTGGTGAAGGGGGAAATACATACACATAATAAAAATACTGTTACAGATGAAACATTATTTAAGAGTGACCAAATGGGGATTTTATTTACAGAGTGACCAGTAGAGGTTTCTTTCACAAGGTAGGTATTTGAATTAAGGACACCGTGAATGACAACTCCTGGAAAGAAGCTGGGTCTTCAAGGCTAACTAAGTGATTGGACCTTCAGTGATGTGGAGAAAGTGGAGTGTTTTGTATCCAGAACCCAATTACAGTTCCTTTGGGGCAATCATTAACCCCCTAAATAGTTACTGCTTGCTGACCTCTGTGTCAGACCTAGTCCTGTGGCTAACAAGTTAAAAACTTCTGGAAATGTATTAACAAAGTCTCGTTTCTACCAACCAAAAGGGTGAGTTATCAGACGGCACCTGAGACCAATAGCTGAGATTTCTCTCCTTGGTTGTGACTGCCTATTTAATGTTTCCACTAAAACATTTGAAAGATGCCTTAATTAACGCTTTTATTACTATAAAAATTTTATGAAACTGCTTCCACACTGGAACGTAGATTTGGGGGTAACCTGAGTCTATGTTCCTGGGCCATGGTCACTCATATTTGGCTCCCAAGTAAACGATCATACTCTATTTGAAATGAGAACTGTGTTTTTAAGGCAGTGCTATTTATTGTGACTAGTTTGGTAATTCAGCAGAATATTCTGAGCAGAGGGTAGATTTAATATCTTTAAAAATGATAATCCTGCTGGAATGTTGAGAAATGGCTAGAAGCTGCCACTATTATAAATTTTGGCACTGCTACAAGATGAACCTGGCTTCCCAGCCAGGACATGGAGTTCTATTGAACATAAAGTATTTTACAGAACACGTTAGTTGACAAGATGTAGTTTCAGGAATGAAGAAAAGTTCTAAGAACTGAGAGAGAGTATACAATACATACAATACAATCTCTCTTGTTTCTGAATCTTTCCATGTACCACAGAGCACAGACTGGCCTCAAATCTGAGATCCTTCTCCATCCATTTCTGGAGTGCTGGGATGACAGGTGTTGGTCAGTGTGTCGTAAAACTTCCCAAGGGGTAGAGATCACAGGTGGTTTCTTGTGCCAAAACTGCCCTGTCTCCACCTGTTCTCTTTACAGGTAATGTTGCACTGCATTGTTGTATGTTACTAATCTCATTTAGTTTTGCTAATTAGCCAACTGTCAAAACTCATGGGGGTGGGGGGTGTTCAAATACTATATGAAGATGTTGAAGCCCTCTACATGGCATAGACAAACAACCTATATACATACACCATTGTATTTCCTATTATCTCTGCATTATCCATAGTAATTAATACAACATAGATTTTCTGTCAATATTTATTTTAATGCACTGCTTGGGAGGGGTGGTCAAGAAAAACATCACGTACCTGTCAGTACTATTCGTACCAAAATTTTCTTTCCATCTTCTGGTGGTCGAATCCACTGATTTTTCTGCAACTCACACAAAACACAAAACAAAACGTAAGACTGTTCTCTGCAGCTCAGTTCAACACAAACTTCTTTCTTATTCAATTCTGCTCAACACCTCCAGGATCAGATGAACCTGTTCTCTTTTCTTTTTTGATTTTATTTCGAGACAGGGTTTCTCTGTGTAGCCCCGGCTGTCCTGGAGCTTGCTCTGTAGAACACGGGTCTATTTCTTAAGTGGTTTTCCCACCAGTTGAATCTCCTTAGTACGAAGGATTCTCATCTGGATTATTTTTCAGTTTGGGCACCTCCGTAAGGTTCAATATTCCAGCGGTGGTAATGGGTGATTGAAACTAGGCCCTAGTAGTGCCTGAGAGGCAAAGGCTTTAACTAACACCTATCTATCCCCAATATTCCGGGCTTTTTAAGATGGTCTAACCTGGCCCTGAACCCACGCTGACCACGAAAATAGCCGTCCAGAGTATGCCAACCCTGGTTGACTTTCCGTAACTGAATTTTAACTCTCTCGAAATCTCTTTAATAAAAAGGATATCGCTGTTGCTGTTTAGGAGATGAAGGTAAGTGCTCCCCTGCTAAGGTTCCCTTAGAGGGGCTTCAAGGTTAGGCCTCCCCAAGATCTTGGGACTCAGAGAAAAGGGCTTAAAACATCCAATTTCCAGCCTGGGTGGAATTCTGAATGTTGAAGCAGACTGCCTAACTGTCCCCAGCCTGGCAAAAGAGTAAGAGTCAAGTCCAGAAATTTAGAAAAACGACTATCACTTGGTATTAACATGGAGGAAGGAGCCGACCCGTGTAACTTGGGGGTCACATTCCCCATACAGGTCAGCTCCGGGAAACGGCTGTGCTCAACGCCCATACTTCGCCTTAATGTCCACCCCATCGACCACAACTAGAAACAGCACAAGTGCAGACAGAGGACACCAGATGGCCCAGTTTCGGTTTAGAACGACCGCGAGACACAGCGCAGCAAGGTACAGCCTTTAGAGGAACACGTGGGTGGCCCTGAAAAGGGCCTTTACGACACTGGAGGAAAACGCAGGCATGGCTTAACCACCGAAGCCGTAGAGCGTGCGTCCCTGGCGCTTGAGCGCGTAGACCACGTCCATGGCCGTGACGGTCTTGCGCTTGGCGTGCTCCGTGTAGGTGACGGCGTCGCGGATCACGTTCTCCAGGAAGACCTTCAGCACCCCGCGGGTCTCCTCGTAGATGAGGCCGGAGATGCGCTTGACGCCGCCGCGCCGGGCCAGGCGGCGGATGGCGGGCTTGGTGATGCCCTGGATGTTGTCGCGCAGGACTTTGCGGTGGCGCTTGGCGCCGCCCTTGCCCAGGCCCTTCCCGCCTTTGCCGCGACCAGACATGGCTAGCTTAGGGAGTAGCTGCAAAACAAGCCGAAGAGACAAAAGGCCGGTGGCTTATTATAGGATCCTCTCGGACCTGGTTGAAAACCGCATGTGGGCGGGGACTAAAGGGCTGCCAATGCCTCTTTTGCTCCGCCCGCGGTAGGGCGGAGACCAAGGAGCTGAACACAGAAATAGTGCCTTTCTGCAGTTCCCCAGGTTTCCCACAGCTTGGATTGCACGGCTGTTATATTTTTGTATATTATCCTAACAAATAATTACATCTCTATGGCCCAATAGTTTTGAAGGAGTTAAAAGACAAACCTCTCTAAATCATGTACGTTTAAAACATTAAAAAAATAAAAACACCAAAAAGGTGGTACCAAAAGAACATTATTTTTTCCTAGTAATACTGATGTGAAAGATACTAAAAGACCAACCTGCAACATTTTTATTGCTAGGAGGAACTGAGGCAGAGAGAATCGGCTCAAGAAAAACTTGTTAAAATACAATGTCCACATAGCTCAAGCCCCCTTGCTTTGTCAAATCATGGCACTGGCTGTTCTTTGCCCGATTCTGTATGTAATCGATTCACTGCTGCTTTGGGTTACGTTTTTTTTTTTTTTTTTTTTTT